TTTTAACGAATCCCATACCTAATTGATAAAAATGTTCATAATATACGGTTATCAACTACATTTGTTTTTAGAAACAAAAAGTTATTTTAGAACTCTTCACTATTGATCTGATTGTTATAACAATTGGATCTGTATTTTGGGACATTGCCAGTAAGTGGCAACTTGACGTCTTGACACAAAATAAAGTTCTATTGAAGTGTGCAAACATGTAAACATTGTGAACATCTAAAATTTCGTATACAGTAGAAGCCGCTTATTAGAAACACGGATTATTGATACAATCGCGTTATTGAAACAAAATGTACCGGGACGGATCGCCCGTATATTAGGACATTTAAAATAAATAGGATTATTGGAACATTACATCGGTTATTTGAAACAATTAGGCGGAGGTCAGTTGACATATACACCGGTTATCCGTGCGATAACCAATATAATTTAATCTTATCTTTGCTGTCGTTACGTTTATATATGGACGGTACTTTATCTTACATCCTATACTTTTCTGTACGTATCGTTAGTTCAACTTCGGCGTGTGTACACAAAGGTGATTAGTGTTTCGTTGGTTATGGAGTTACTTGACGCAAAAAAACAAACTTCGATCGATAAATATTTTAAACAATATAGTAAGATAAATATTTTAAATAATATGTAATATAGTAATTAGTAAGATAAATATTTTAAATACGAAAATCGTAATATACATATACATACATAGTTAAATAAATACATACATAAATAAATTTTCTGCGTATTTTTCATTTTTTTTTTTTCATAGTACAAATCTAACAAATCGCTTATTAGAAACAATCGGTTAATTGACACATTTCACTTTGGTCCCTAAGTGTTTCTGATAAGCGGCTTCTACTGTAGTTACAAACTAATAAGTTGTACACCTCAATTATTGGCATAGGTTAATATGAATTGTTTATTATATATATAATATTACATTTATTTATAACTCATATCTTTCAGGTCCATGTGTTGTTTTTTAGTAAATGTGACTTACACTTAACGGTTGTTTTCAAGCAACGGTTATTCCTAGATTTCAATTTTAAGAGGACGTAACAGTGGTATTTGTTGTCTCCGTCTTACAAGTGCGTAACATAGCAAATTTAAGCTCAGCAGAAAACTTGTAGTTTAAAAATTAGAGTGAATTGACCTATTATGAAACTTGATGGTAAGAATATTATCTGTGTTTGTATGTTGGTTTTTTACGATAGTTCAATCTTTTAGTAAGTTATGCGTATATAGTATACCGTAAATTAAACATATTCAATCTTTTAGTAAGTTATGCGTATATAAAATACCGTAAATTGAAAATGCTCATAACTCACCTAAAAGATGAATTATCGTAAAAAACCAACCTACAAACACAGGTAATGTTCTTACCATCAATTTACATGATAGGTCAATTTACTCTAATGTTTAAACTAACGAAGCTACAAGTGTTCTGCTAGACGGAGACAACAAATACCAGTGTTACGTCCTCTTAATAGTAAAATTAAATCTTAATTAAAAAATACTCTACTCAACAATTTAAATATTTACTTTCCAAATACTTACTAAAAACATTGTATCACATATTTTATTAATTTAATGTTTTTAGAGTTTACACACGTATTTTGTCTGTTTCTTGTTCTAAACAATTAGATCAAAAGCCACCTCCAGCTGTTATCACACATATCATATGTGAAGTCATAACTATTCTACTATTCTAAGATTTTTTCGACAAACGGTTCACCTTTCAGAATGGTTGGCATCAGCATGGTTGCTGATAGGCTGTTAAAAGAATTGGAGTGTCCTACATCCATACATATACATACTTACATACATTCATACATACATACATACATACATACATACACAGTATGTGCATTTCTTGATCATAATAATGTTAATTATCAAATTTAATTAAATATGTAAATTATAGGTTTAGTGGTCCTCAAACCCGTTCCAATTCATAGAACTTAATTCTCAACAAGGAAAGACAAACTTCTTTGAAAGAAGACTAAGCGAACACCAATTACCTTCAGTTGCACTCCGAATCATGTTCGTGAATAAAATTATTTGTCAAAGACTTATTTATAATTATAAGAAAACTTTATTTTAAATTTTATAGTTCAAGAGAAAAGTATTTAAAATCTTTAATAATTAGACTATCATAGTTTTCATATTTGCCGTATTTATAGTTTAGCTGTAATTTAAAATTTAGAAATATATGACTAATGTGTTGTAATTTATTGTTATACATGCAGCAGTTTTTGGTATATACTAAATAAGAAATTCTTATTAAGTAAAAATAAATAAATTATAATATATTATAAGACGTAACTGTAGACGTCATATAAAAAAATTAAAAAAAATTTGTTTTTTATGTCTGGATGTAGCTGAACTTTATACTAAATCTTATGACTAATATGTTATTTACAACTTTGTAACCTAAGTTTTACTGTTTTTTTTATTTACATTTTACTATCATTAGAGTGCAGATTTGTATGCGTTTGCATATTTATTCTGGCTCATGGTATGATATGCTAAAATTTACATGTATCTACATGTATCTACAGTTATTTGTTTTTGAATAGCAATAAAATAACAAAACCGCTAAATGAGAAATCGATTGAATATCCAATATTTTAAAAATTGTGAACTTTAAACGCTTATAAAAATTTAATTTGATTTGCTTGTAGACATATTTTTTACACACGTATTTTGTCTGTTTCTTGTTCTAAACAATTGGATCAAAAGCCACCTCCAGCTGTTATTACACATATCATTTGTGAAGTCATAACTATTGTACAAGATCTTTTGACAAACGCTTCACCTATCAGAATGGTTGGCATCAGCATGGTTGCTGCTTGGCTGTTAAAAGAATTGGAGCGTCCTACATCCATACATATACATACATACATATTACATATGTATTTAAATTACAGGTTTACTGGTCGTCAAACCCGTTCCAATTCATAGAAGTTAATTCTCAACAAGGAAAGACAAACTTCTTTGAAAGAAGACTAAGCGAACACCAATTACCTTCAGTTGCACTCCGAATCATGTTTGTGAATAAAATTATTTGTCAAAGACTTATTTATAATTATAAGAAAACTTTATTTTTAAATTTTATAATCGAAGAGAAAAGTATTTAAAATCTTTATTAATTATACTATCATAGTTTTCATATTTGCCGTATTTTTAGTTTAGCTGTAATTTAAAATTTAGAAATATAATATGACTATTGTGTTGTAATTTATTGTTATACATGCAACAGTTTTTGGTACATACTAAATAAGGAATTCTTATTAAGTAAAAATAAATAAATAATAATATATTATAAGACGTAACTGTATGTAACTGTAACTTTATTCTGGCTCATCGTATGATATGCTAAAATTTTCATGTATCTACAGTTATTTGTTTTTGAATAGCAATATAATAACAAAACCACTAAATGAGAAATCAAGTGAATATCCAATATTTTAAAAATTGTGAACTTTAAACGCTTATAAAAATTTAATTTGATTTGCTTGTAGACATATTTTTGATAAAGGTAGATAAACTTATGAGTAATCTTGTATTACATTTTCAAATATTAGATTTAAAAAGAAAAATTTTTATGAATTTTTTACTCAAAATAATTTGATAGTTTTCGTGATTTTTCCATGTTTTGTCAAGATTTGAACTTTAAATACTTATAAAAAAAACTGTGACTAAAGATTTTTAATATTTTTCAAATGTCAATGTAACAATATAGAAGGAGCCTTGCATTCAATTTTCAAGTATTTTTACTCAACAAATAAAGTCTTATTGAAATCTATAGAAAAAAAAACTAATAAAATTGGAAACTGAAAATGTCCCTAAACAGTTTCCAACTAGATTCACTTTCCCGTCGAACAAGATACTGAAGTTGAAAATCGAATCATTAATTCGACTACGAATCGTGTACACAGACACACACAAAAAAAAAAAAAAACATCAGTGTAAAATCAATACATCGTTCCACTCAGAATCTAAAAAAAAAAAATTAGAAGTGACTGCCGAACAGTAGGTTAAAAGTGGGTGACTGTTATGGATAGTGTTAAATTTGAATTCAATGATATAATATCATTGTATACGAAAACGATTCTAAGTGGAAACGATTTGTCAGCCTAGGATATTGTATACTATAGTATTTATAGTAGCCAGTTAAGTTGAATTATTATTATTTGTTTATTATCATTAATTATCATATTTGTATAATATAATATAATAATATATTTTAAACGATTTAACTACCCGCAAATAATATTTTTAAAATAGGTTAGTACAACACGGACTAAAATCGTTCTTCTTCGTTTAAATATTTAATTTCGTCCAATTCGAACATAAAATAACTAGGTACACAAAGGAAAAATTGTGTTTTAAATTTTTTTGGTTACAGAATAACTTACTATTACGTGTGACTTACTTTTCAATTTTCAAACCTTAAAGCTGTAAAAGTTGAGAAATCATTTTTCAATTTTATAAATTGTGCCTATATATTTTTAAATGTTCAACTATTGTAACAATATATCAGGAGCCTCTTATTAAATGTTCATGCTTTTTGACCCAACAACTAAAACATTAAAGACATTTATAGAAAAAAAAAAACTAAAAAAAATTGAAACTGAAAATGTCCACAAACAGCTAAGAAAAGTCAAAATATTTTGGTGATGTTTAGAAACTGCTAATATTTACATTCAGGGAAGATTGCATGTACCTATCTACGTTCATTTGTCGTAGAGTTAAACCAAAAACCAAAATGGATTTTGTTAAAAACCAATTTTGCGTAAAAATTCCAAATTTTCCTGAATTTTTGTTTTGTTTTTCCTGGCGCTTTTGAAAACTACTGGAAATTTTAAACGTTTATCTCCCAAACGGACTATTTACACAGACATAAAAATAATTTAAAAAAAAAAAAACACATTGTAAAATTAATTCATAAGTCTCATTTAATATAATGTTTATTTTTTAGGTATTTTTTAGCTTTGTTGTCTTGACATAATTGCTTCCTGTCTTTTTTGTCTTAACATAATTATTGCTTCCTCTAAAGTTCTAGAATCGACTGGCGACAATAACATATACTTCACTGCTTCGACTCGTTCTGCCAATTCGCGTTCTTCTTTTGTCATACTGGACGAAGGTGTAGGTTCATCTGCTTCATCGTCACTCAAGGTGAGGTCTATTATTTCCTTATCATAATCCATTGTGCGTTGGGCATATCAATGGAAGCCAAGGGCTGTTATATTATCTACTCGTACTCGTATTTAATGATGTTGACTGAGAGTTATCCTATAAAAAAATTCACAATAGGTATGTTAATTTTGATCTATATTGAATTAAATAAGAAATTTAAGGCAATTGAAAGCGGTTTAATGTTTCATGTATTTCTTCCATATTTTTGAAAGAAAAATTAACAATTTTAAAAAAAACAATTTAATTTGTTAAGTTTATATTAATTTTGTTGTGTAGGAAATGCATTAGGTATAATTTGTTTAAAGGGGCTTGAGCATATAGCATGTCTTATGGAGGAATATTTAGGCAATTTATATCTTATATTATGTAGTACATTATCAATGCAATGATATGAATCAATAGTGAGAGATTTAGTGACCCGTGACTGGTTCATTTAATTTAATAAATTGTTATTGCTACCCAGCATTAAAGTCTTAAAAAGTGTTAATAATTATTTTACCTATCTTTTTCATTAACGACTCGAGACACGACGAACGTTCGACGTCGTTAAATAATTATAATTTATTTAGTGTTCAACGTGTCCATCATGGAGATCACTACACAACGAACAATTATTTCAACTTCTCAATGAAACACATGAATCTGTGGGACATGCAGTATGAATTTAACTTGAAATTTAAAAATATAACAAGGGATATAATGATATATTTAAATTTATGTGACCACTGTCAAAAAAAAGGAATTTCAATAAATTCATAATTGTAATAACAGGTAGGCACCTAAAATTGCTTATGTAATTAAGCCAATGCCAAAGGACTATAATAATTTATTATATAGAGTATTACTACTATATATTATAACTAGCCGACCCGTCACAGCTTCGCCCGTGATTGGTTGTTTATTTTGCCTTCGGACGATGATATGTATACATTTTTACTAAAATTTTATCGTTTAATGCGATCGGCAAGTAAATATAAAAATGATTAAAGAAAACGTATTCAAATGTTTCTAGCGGTATTAATTTTAAATATAATTAAATAGCAGAATCCGTGCACTTCATTACCAGTAAAAAATTTCAAATGTTAAAAAAATTATGATTGTTCAACTACTTTTGGGGGTAACTTAATGCAGCCTGCAGTAAGTGCAACTCAGCCACCTTGGTGTAGGCAATGACGTCGGATCGCAGACAAAAGGCAACTTTTTCACCAATCACCTTAATAGCCAATGTTCAATAATGCGATTTGATGCAAGCTTGTACCAGTTGTACCTGATCTACCCAAATAACCAATAGCAACCGATAATAAATAAACACTACTGTTGACTGTAACCAGTGGGAACTATTAATAAATAAAAATAAAATTTCCAATGTGAACCTCAATGTCCCTGTTTGAGCATCTTTTTAAAATGCGAATTTTGGCATATAATTCCTTATTCCACAGGTGAAAGTATTAGAAGAACCATTATTCCAAATTTCAAGATCGTACGTTGAGTAGTTTTTGAGAGACAGCGATCACTGATTAGTGTGTCAGTGTTATATGGATTTTAGGTATATTATAATATACAGATTCCCTACTCCCTCCCCTCCGACAAAAAAAAAAAAAAAATGAAAAATCGGCTTACGCGGAGACTGCCAGGAAAGTATATAGAACAACTCTGTGAAAAAAAATTGGAAAAAAATTGGAACATAAAAAAGGCCTATTCTTTTATATATATAAGTATTAGATTAATTTTGTTTTTTAATTTTTCTAGAACTTTATACTTATTTTTTTTTAACAAAAGTGGTACTAAAACCTTCAGCAGACTGTCTGGTATAGCAGTAAAAAATTTCAGTCAAATCGGTTCTCTAGTTTTCTTAGTTAGCGCGATCATAGGTATATATTACTAGTTATAGTATAGATATATAGTATAATTGTTACCTTCTGGAACAGTGTTTCTCAACTTGGGGCTCGCCAACTTATTATTTAGGGTCGCAATCGAATGATTTAAATCATACGAGTATGTAAAAATTATATATGTAGGGGTCGCTAAAAAATTAAAATTTAAAAAGGGGGGTCGCCAGTCGCCACAGTAAAAAGGTTAAGAAACACTGTTTTGGAACATCCATATTAATACAATACAAATCAAGGGTTACGGGGACAAACGATCAAAGTCAAAAGAAAGAAAAAAATCAAATAATTATAGTACCTTTTGGTTAGTTTCATAACGAATCGACATGTGAATCGAGTTATGGAAAAAAGATCACTGTCAATGATATAGTACATGCAGGTTTAAATATTACCATAACGGGGAAAAAAGACCAGGGTCCCACTTTAAAACTAGAACATTTTAGGACTATTGACTATTATCGTTTTTCACCGTAACCCTTCATATAAATATATAAAATATCACTAACATCATACTTACATTAATTGTACTCAGGACAACAGGTCGACGGCGGCTTTGATTTCTTGAGATGGAATTAGTGATGCGCTTACGTTGCCTCTTCGGAACAAACAACCCGACGTCCGCTATTGAAGAAGGGCCGCACGAGTCACGAAATTACAGCCTATAGGTGGCGCTGGTGCCGTGGCAGGCAATTCTACTCAGGGTCATTTCGATTTTCGACGAAATTTGTACACGTTACAACTATAATAATATATACCTACCTAATGTATACACATTAATAACAAAACCACCATATATTCTTAAAATATATATATTATACTTACAGAAATAGGGACACTGTTGTACATACACATAATACGATATATCGTCCATAGGCGCAAATATGGGGGGGGGGGGCTTAGGGGGTATTAGAACCCCCAATTTTAAAATTAGCACCATCTAATAAATATGTGTTTATGTATCAAAACTTCTCTTTACAATAAAAAAAAAAAACCAAAAACAGTTTATCATCAGACATGAGGGTATCAGAGTATAATGAATGAAACAATGAATTCGACAATTGTAATTTTATCGAAATAAAATCTATTTAGAATATAAATCATTATTTTCCAATGTTTCTACTAAGCCCGATCGTTGTGGTCGGTTATATTATTATCAGTGTTATCACGTTCAGCAGCGACTCAGCTCTACGACAATTTATAGTATCGCGAGTATTTACTAATAGAAACATTCCCGTGCCCACATCTAATTCGGACAAAAACATAATTACGATATACGAATTACTTGTCAGTTGGTGTTCACTGGAGTTCCAAGTTTCCGACAGCCTGTGTGATTGTGTATGCCGAATTATATAATATAGTAGGTACAGATAGTAGGTACTTATATCTATAAGTATATAACTGACTTTTGGAATAACTTTTGTTCTAATCAATATTTATAATGTTTTTTTATAATTTTAACAATTTTTGTCACACATTTAAGTAGCTTCATTTTTTTTTTTTTTGTCAAGTCTGTCTGTTACACCCCTTGTACACTAATATTTATTTGTCATATTTTTTGAATAAAATATAAATAATTTGTTTTAAATTTTTAATAAATTAAAATTTACTATTGTATTAATTTTTATAAAATGTACCTAATGCACTATAACTATTCAATGTTAAATTGTCATAAAACCATTTTTTCTCAAAAAAGTCATAAGTGCCTCATAGGTATAATTTAATTTAAATACCCAGGAAATGCAGAGCTTAAGCACCCTCAGTTTTTATGTTGAAATTGCGCCTATATTATCGTCCCAAACCAGTTTGTAAATACCGAATAACGACGTAGACTTTGTACCTATCTCGTATTATATTATAGTCACCCCCCACGTATTCGACAGATATTATCGAACAACGACGTGAGTTTAAGTGCCTCGACAAAATTTATATAAATATAATATATTACAGGTGTGTACAGATATATTTATGACATATTTATATATTATATGGATATTGTACGAGATATTCTATCTCCTGTGAAGATCTGAGCACTTTAACTGGGACGGTGCGAGGGGGATGGGGGGAGGGGCAGTCGGGGCAGTTGCCCCGGGCCCCGCGATTTTAAAATTATAGTTAAGGCCCCGCAGTTCTAAAATGATTTATACTGTTCAGAGATTTTACCGAATTTCCAAAATTGTATTTATTGAAATCATAATTCGTATTACTTTTTTTTCTGCTAAAATAATTCTTTATTCCGTGATTCGTTATGTTTAGACAACAGTCCAGTGCCGGATTGAAAGGGGATGCAGGCCGCAATGGGTGCATTGCATTGGGGCCTCAAGACCAAGGTTGTATTATAAGTCCTAAATTTTAGTATAATCGTACTATTTATTTAACCTCAGAGGCTCGCTCAGTCGCGCTATAGTTAGGCACTATAAGTATGAGTTATTCTCATCCGCCCTTTTGGTTCCAGGCGCTCCGGGCGGTCGAGTTGTCGGGCGCGAACCGGTGGTCTGACGGTCCGCGGTCGAACTGAAACCAAAATGGCGGATGAGAATACCTACATCTATAGTGCTCTAGCTATAGTGCAGTATCTTGCTGGACAAACTAATAAGATAACCCGGTAGCGATGCCATTTTGTCACCAAAATTACAATGCGGGAATAACGATACCGCCTTGTAGAATCAACGAAATTTCATATTTTTTTTTTTTAAATTTTTATAAGGAAATATTGTACAGCCCTCATCGATCTCTGTTTTGCAATATTTTATTCTCAAACTTAATAATATGTCTAAAAAAATACAAGATAAAAAACATTTTTTAACAAATTGTTTATACAATTATTTGAAATAAAATACAAAATCAGAGATTGGTGAGGGCTATAGGAAGTCTTCTTCTTTCAGATAAAAAAAAATAGTCATCAAAATCCGTCTATTCTACAAAGCTTGAGAGTTATTCCCGTAAAGTCATTTTTTTTCGATATAATACACCCTATTAACGCCCCCTAAATAGGTATCGTGTACTATATTAGTGAAAAAGTCTTATAATTGAGATGGTAACTAAAATATAAACGGATTATAATTTACGGACATACCTTGATCAATGACGTCTGCAGGATTTTTCAATGGAGGGGGGCTTGAAAATTAGTTACATTTTTATTTTGTCCAGTCTAATAATTTCAGACGTTTATTTGAGGTACCTATTTTAAAATGTTTGTAACTTTTCAACTTTTCTGGTAGAAAAAATACTCTGATCATAAGCTCCGATGCCCAGTGTATGTTTTTGGAAGCAAAATGGATCTAGTTGGTACTTTTAGGAGGTCGAAATTGAAAATGCTCAGTGCTTTTAAAAATAATTGGAGAAAAAAAATGAAAATTTATTTAAATGTTTGGTTATGCCGTCTTCACTTGGATTGTATTTGAATAATTAAATTTTTTTTTCCATAAATGTCAATAAAAAATTACTTATCTGGTCAAAAACCTTAAAAATGTAATACGTAAGTTATTTTATTATAGCTAAAATATTAACGATACATAGGCATAGTGTTTGAAAATTTCATGAAATTTAAAAAAATGAAATATTTCAGTATTTTGTTTTATTTTTAAATAAGTTTTATATTTACAAATAATTGTCATAAATTACCTTCATAACTATATGGTACCTGTATGTACCTAACCTTTGGTATTATACATTTAAAATGGTATTCAAAATTTTTAAATATTTTAATGTTTAAATGATACAAGTAGGTATACAATATTATACATGTATATTGTATAAATACTGAATTCTGTCATTAGAATTTAGAACACTGAACATTGTGTTAAAAAAAAAAATAAATTGTGCTTTTATTTGTGTAAAAAAATTTCAATGTGTCACGTTTTTGTGAAATATTTCATACTTCAAACACTACCTACATAGGCACCATGGTTATTTTTTATAAGCATTTAAAGTTCAAATTTCGTTAAAATGACTGTTAATTTGTAGTTCAAAACTTATAAAATATAAAATATATATATAGCTAAGGCTAGACAATTTAATACAAGGTCTTTCATACAAGTAGATCATACTTTTACCTAAAAATTACAGATAATTTATGAAAATTGCAGGTATGCAAATACAATGTTCTTTCAAAAATGAATTCATTCTGGTAAGACATATATGAAATTTACTTCTTGCTTACTATAGTTGACAGTTTAAGTTGATTAATATTTTTTTGAAAAAGTAACAATAATACGGGCAATGAGGGGGGGGGGCTTCAGCCCATTAGCCCCCCATCTGCGGACGCCTCTGGCTTGATGCAGTGTTCTTGGTTGTTCTTTGGTGTTATTTTGTACTTTTGTCGGTTTTATTTTTTAAACTACTCTACAAACTCTATTATATTAATTTTTCATGTGCTTATGAAAAATATAAATTAGGTACCTACCGGCTACCTACACTATCTTTTATTGACTTTTGAAAAAAAAACATGTCTATCAAACAATTTGAAAGTGGTGCATCTAAAAGACGAAGAAAAATGTTCAAAACAATGAATTAACAAAATATAGAGAATTGATGAATAATTTTGTATTCAATTCAGGTAATTGTACCTAATTCATATTTGTGTCCTTTCATTTTAGGACAATATAGATAATATACAGCTATTGTCATAATAATGATATTTATAATTTATTCTTAATTTATATTATACTAGCATAGAAGCATACATTAATGATTAATACATCATTATTGTGTACTTATAGCTTTCAGAAGACCACATATAGACTGTTATTTATTTTGCCCAGGGCCCCGCAAATCCTAGCGCCGTCCCTGAACTTTAACGTATGTATGTATAAAGGTACTGCAGAGGGTTCAGTAGCGGATCTGAAGCTCATAAGGAAGGGACGAATTGGTATCATAGAATTTCAATATTATTATTTTTTGAGCCCACCAGGGCGTTTACACCAATAAATAAATAAATAAATATTATCTGTGTTTGTATGTTGGTTTATGATAGTTCAGTCTTTTAGTAAGTTATGCGTATATATAATATACCGTAAATTAAAAATGCTAATAACTCACCTAAAAGTTGAATTATCATGAAAAACCAAATTACAAACTCAGGTAATGTTCTTACCATAAATTGTCATGATAGGTCAATTTACTCTAATGTTTAAACTAACGAAGCTACAAGTGTTCTGCTAGAGTGACTAGCAGCTAGACGTCTAGCAGCTAGACGGAGACAACAAATACCAGTGTTACGTCCACTTAATAGTAAAATTAAATCTTAATTAAAAAATACTCTACTCAACAATTTAAATATTTACTTTCCAAATACTTACTAAAAACATTGTATCAAATATTTTATTAATTTAATGTTTTTAGAGTTTACACACGTATTTTGTCTGTTTCTTGTTCTAAACAATTGGATCAAAAGCCACCTCCAGCTGTTATCACACATATGTATCATTTGTGAAGTCATAACTATAGTACAAGATCTTTTGATAAACGCTTCACCTATCAGAATGGTTGGCATCAGCATGGTTGCTGCTTGGCTGTTAAAAGAATTGGAGCGTCCTACATCCATACATTATACATACATACATATGTATTTAAATTACAGGGTTTACTGGTCGTCAAACCCGTTCCAATTCATAGAACTTAATTCTCAACAAGGAAAGACAAACTTCTTTGAAAGAAGACTAAGCGAACACCAATTACCTTCAGTTGCACTCCGAATCATGTTTGTGAATAAAATAATTTGTCAAAGACTTATTTATAATTATAAGAAAACTTTATTTTTAAATTTTATAGTTGAAGAGAAAAGTATTTAAAATCTTTATTAATTATACTATCATAGTTTTCATATTTGCCGTATTTATAGTTTAGCTGTAATTTAAAATTTAGAAATATAATATGACTATTGTGTTGTAATTTATTGTTATACATGCAACAGTTTTTGGTACATACTAAATAAGAAATTCTTATTAAGTAAAAATAAATAAATTATAATATATTATAAGACGTAACTGTATGTAACTGTAACTTTATTCTGGCTCATCGTATGATATGCTAAAATTTTCATGTATCTACAGTTATTTGTTTTTGAATAGCAATACAATAACAAAACCACTAAATGAGAAATCAAGTGAATATCCAATATTTTAAAAATTGTGAACTTCAAACGCTTATAAAAATTTAATTTGATTTGCTTGTAGACATTTTTTTTTTGATAAAGGTAGATCAACTTATGAGTAATCTTGTATTACATTTTCAAATCTTAGAATTAAAAAGAAAATTTTTTATGAATTTTTTACTCAAAATAATTTGATAGTTTTCGTGATTTTGCCATGTTTTGTCAAGATTTGAAGATTTGACATAAAGATTTTTAATATTTATCAATTGTCAATGTAACAATATAGTAGGAGCCTTGCATTAAATTTTCAAGTATTTTTACTCAACAAATAAAATCCATAGAAAAAAAAACTAATACAATTGGAAACTGAAAATGTCCCTAAAAAATATTTTGATAATTTTATCGTGTATAGAAATTGCAAATATAAACAACCAGTGAAAATTTCATGTATGTTTACGGCCATTTGTTTTGAAGTTACACCAAAAGCCAAAATCGATTTTGTCAAAAACCGATTTTGCGTAAAAATTCCCGTTTTTCCTTAATTTTTGTTTTGTTTTTCCTGGCGCTTTTGAAAACTATTGGGAATTTTACATTTTGACCTCCCAAAAGGACCAACTAGATTCACTTTCCCGTCGAACAAGATACTGAAGTTGAAAATCGAAGCATTAATTCGACTACTAATCGTGTACACAGACACACACAAAAAAAAAAAAACATCAGTTTAAAATCAATACATCGTTCCACTCAGAATCTAAAAAACAAAATTAGAAGTGACTGCCGAACAGTAGGTTAAAAGTGGGTGACTGTTATGGACAGTGTTAAATTTAAATTCAATGATATAATATCATTGTATATGAAAAACGATTCTAAGTGGAAACGATTTGTCAGCCTAGGATATTATATACTATAATATTCATAGTAGCCAGTTAAGTTGAATTATTATTATTTGTTTATTATCATTAATTATCATATTTGTATATAATAATATATTTTAAACGTTTTAATTACCTGCAAATAATATGTTTAAAATAGGTTAGTACAACACGAACTAAAATCGTTCTTCTTCGTTTAAATATTTAATTTCGTCCAATTCGAACATAAAATAACTAGGTACATAAAGGAAAATTGTGTTTTAAATTTTTTTGGTTACAGAATAACTTACTTACGTGGGACTTACTTTTCAATTTTCAAACTTTATAGCTGTAAAAGTTTAAAAATATATTTTCAATTTTATAAATTGTGCCTAAATATTTTTTAAATGTTCACATATTGTAACAATATATCAGGAGCCTTATTGTATTAAATGTTCATGCTTTTTGACCCAACAACTAAAACATTATAGACATTCATAGAAAAAAAAACTAAAAAAAATTGAAACTGAAAATGTCCACAAACAGCTAAGAAAAGTCAAAATATTTTGGTGATGTTTAGAAAATGCTAATATTTACATTCAGGGAAGATTGCATGTTATTATCTACGTTCATTTGTAGTAGAGTTACACAAAAAACCAATTTTGCGTAAAAATTCCCAATTTTCCTGAATTTTTGTATCACACTGCACTTTTGAAAACTACTGGAAATTTTAAACGTTGATCTCCCAAACGGACCATTTACACAGACTTAAAAATAATTTAAAAAAAAAACACATTGTAAAATTAATTCATTAGTCTCATTTAATATAATGTTTATTTTTTAGGTTGGCTTTGTTGTCTTAATTTGAACATAATTGCTTCCTGGCTTTGATTTCTTAATAAAATTGCTTCCTCTATTAATTCAGAATCGACTGGCGACAATAACGGATATTGCACTGCGTCGACTCGTTCTGCCAATTCGCGTTCTTCTTTTGTCGAAGGTGTAGGTTCATCTGCTTCATCATCACTCAATGTGAGGTCTATTATTTCCTTATCCATTGTGCCAATCAAGGGAAGGCAAAGGCTGTTATATTATCTACTCGTACTGGTATTTAATGATGTTGACTGAGAGTTATCCTATAAAAAAATTCACAATATGTTAATTTTGATCTATATTGAATTAAATAAGAAATTTAAGGAAATTGAAAGCGGTTTAATGTTTCATGTATTTCTTCCATATTTTTGGAAGAAAAATTAACAATTTTAAAAAAACAATTTAATTTGTTAAGTTTATATTAATTTTGTTGTGTAGGAAATGCATTAGGTATCATTTGTTTAAAAGGGCTTGAGCATAGCATGTCTTATGGAGGAATATTTAGGCAATTTATATCTTATATTATGTAGTACATTATCATAAGTGTGCGTAATCAGTTATCATTTTAAATTTTAAAAAAACCACCATGTAACATTAATCGAATCATTACAAGCAGGGGCTCAGGGAGATGTAGTCTTTATAGACTGTAAAAAAGCGTTTGATTCTGTAAATCAGCGGTTCCCAAACTGTGCGCCGCGGCGCCCTGGTGCGCCCCGATGTCTTTTCAGGGGCGCCGCGTCGCCGTAGAAATTTACCTGGTCTAAAAATAAATTCATGCTATGTCTTGGGAAGGGCGCCTTGAGAAAAGTTTAGTTCAAAAAGGGCGCCGTGAGCTAAAAAAGTTTGGGAACCGCTGCTGTAAATCATTGTATTCTCATTAAAATGTTAGAAAAATCTGGTTTCGGTGAGTCACGACTGTTAATCTGGTTTAATTGCTTAAGTTTTAAATCGAAATTAGGAATCAATGGGTTGAAATTCTTGGCTTTAAATCACATATGTTCTTATAGCGTCGTCCGGAGATCGTCAAACTATTATTTTTATCAAATCTGTAGAATTATCCGTTTAAACTTGAAATGTGTCACCTACTAAACCCAGACAATTCCCATAAAGTGATAATATGTAGAGTACAATATTACCGTTATGCATTATGAGCATAATTTATTATGCCTCCCTCCCATTAAGAAGAAAAATCACTAATGTGAAAATTTGTACACATCACCCAATCAGTAATCATAATTCATAGAGTTAAAGACTCTTACCCCCTACCCCCCCCCCACAGTGGCGCATACTCAAAAATAAATAGGGGTAGCAAATTGAATCGGTTACCTCTATATTGGCTAATAGACTAATGGCTATTGCCTATAATTATTTAATAGTTTATTTTCAATATTTTTATACGTAGAAGAATTTTTTTGGTGTAAATATTTTGGAGACAGGAGGTCCACCCACCCACCTACCAAAAAAATCAGGGGTAGCAACTGCTACCCTTGAACCCTCCAGTGTGCGCCACTAACCCCCCACATATTTTAATGATACTTATTGTAGTCAATGAAAATGCTGCTGAATTAGATATTGTATAACTTTCGCTACACTGAGGTAATATGTGGAAAATATGTCATCGACAATAATTATAATAACAAATTATTATTGTAAGCGTTATAAATTATAATATATCATTCTGTCTTTACCTGTGTCCTTTGTCCTAATATATGTAATATGTCAAATGCAAAGTAGGAAATCTGTGCACAACGCCCAAACTTTTTGGTCAATGTAAGCGGATGATAATTTTAATACCTACTCAAATTGTTTATACATTGCCCGGACAAAGTGTACCCTGCTCAGATTAGCCAGATTCAAGTGGGCAAAGTTAATTGAATACAGGGCGCTACAGTGCTACACACATTTATATATATAATTGCATTTATACGTAAAGATATCGCTACAAAACTATACTTAAATATTTTATTTGTACGCGAAAACGTGACGGCTGCCAACAATACGAACTGATCCGTAATCTTAGCGATAAATTGATCACATGAACTCGAACATTGTGGCTATCTATATAGATAATATAATATTTTCGTCATCGATTCGTAAAATTCCTATTGGATATTTTTTAATGATTATTATTTATTATTATTACTACCACGAAGTATTTCAGTGGCCTGTAATTGGTCAACGCAGACTGTAAAGTGTTGTATTTTCTTTTGGTCAACGGTTCTAACTATTTTCTCAAATAAAATGGAAAAAAAGTTTAATGAGGATTTGAACAATTTACTATTAAACAAAAACGCAAATGTTGTATTTATAAAGTAAAATACGATGAATTAATTTTAAAAGTGAATAAACCGAAAACTAAAAGAACAAAAAAAACTGTAGAGGATTATAAATTAATTATAAAATACGATGTTATTAATATCATGGTCCGAAGGTAATTTAACTAAGTACTTATTATGTTTACAACTGTAGAAAAACCCAAAAACTATAAAATAAAATAATGTACAATAAATAAATTATACATGTGGTGTAATTTGTGAGTAGTAATGTACCTAGGTATTGATACGAAATATAAAATAATCATAAATAACAGGAAGTGTAGATCAAAGGTGAAAACAACAAGTTGTTTTACCTAGTCACACATAGCGCCTACCATTACTTAGAAGATAGTCAGCCCTCGTCGTAGGGTCTAACAAGCTTACGACAGTGATTATAGTATTTTTGTAATTGTATTTGTAATAATAAAAATGTTATATTATTATCATATTTATGCTGGATTGCACAAAACATTTAATGAATCAATAGTGAGAGATTTAGTGACCCATGATTGGTTCAATAAATTTAATAAATGGTAATTGCAACCCAGCATTAAAGTCTTAAAAAGTGTTAATAATTATTTTACCTATCTTTTTCATCAACGAGTCGAGACAACGACGAACGTTCGACGTCGTTAAATAATTATAATTTATTTAGTGTTCAACGTGTCCATCATGGAGATTACTACACAACGAACAATTATTTCAACTTCTTAATGAAACACATGAATCTGTGGGACATGGAGTATGAATTGAACTTGAAATTTAAAAATATAACAAGGGATATAATGATATATTTAAATTTATGTGACCACTGTCAAAAAAAAAGGAAGGTCAATCAATTCAAAATTGTAATAACAGGTAGGCACCTAAAATTGATTATGTAATTAAGCCAATGCCAAAGGACTATAATAATTTATTATATAGAGTATTACTATTATATATTATGGGCGCATGTAAATTCCGCCCGAAAATGGTAAATTCCGCCCAAAATGAACTACAGGTAAAATAAGGTACATGTAAATTCCGCCCGAAAAAAATACAGGTAAAGAAACATAAATGTAAATTCCGCCCGAAAAAATGTATAAGTAAAAAGTTCTTATTACTTAATGATGTTTAAAAGTTTAAAGTTTTTTTGAATTTTTCAATCAAAACCGTATAGGTATAATAGGTTTATAAAGAATACATTTATTACTTACTATTAATAAACAAATTTCTGAATATTTCTTATTAATCATATTATAACTGACATAACATAGATTAAACATTATAATTTAGAAGTGGGTATTTAAATAAATATATTATATATCACATATTAAGTCAAATGTTTATATTTTTTAATTATATTTTGCATGTATATATTTTTTTTTTTTTGATTTTGAATTTCTATATTTATGTGGTTCATTTATACTATTTATTTTTATGTAATTTTCTACTTGAATTTGTTTAAGTTTGTCTAAAAATATGAGGATGACTAGAATTAAAACTTTTATTAAAATTGGAATGAAACGACTCACTAGCATTAGTCGTTCTGTTCAAATCTGCTGTAGCAGCAGCCCATATATTTGGAGGAAAAGCAGCGTCATTACTTACATTTTGTGACTTCCCAATACTATAAGTTATAACACGCGCCGCGACGGGAAAAGTACGGAACGCTTAGTCTGTACCTGTATATTTTTTCGGGCGGAATTTACATGTACCTTTTTTACTTGGATATTTTTCCGGGCGGAATTTACCATAGACCTTGTTTTTACCTGTTCATTTCGGGCGGAATTTACAATCTCCCTATATTATAACTAGCCGACCCGTCACAGCTTCGCCCGTGATTGGTTGTTTATTTTGCCTTCGGACGATGATATGTATACATTTTTATTAAAATTTTATCGTTTAATGCGATCGGCAAGTAAATATAAAAATGATTAATGAAAACGTATTGAAATGTTTCTAGCGGTATTAATGGTAAATATAATTAAATAGCAGAATCCGTGCACTTCATTACCAGTAAAAAATTTCAAATGTTAAAAAAATTATGATTGTTCAACTACTTTTGGGGGTAACTTAATGCAGCCTGCAGTAAGTGCAACTCAGCCACCTTGGTGTAGGCAATGACGTCGGATCGCAGACAAAGTGCAACTCTTTCACCAATCACCTTAATAGCCAATGTTCAATAATGCGATTTGATGCAAGCTTGTACCAGTTGTACCTGATCTACCCAAATAACCAATAGCAACCGATAATAAATAAACACTACTGTTGACTGTAACCAGTGGGAACTATTAATAAATAAAAATAAAATTTCCAATGTGAACCTCAATGTCCCTGTTTGAGCATCTTTTTAAAATGCGAATTTTGGCATATAATTCCTTATTCCACAGGTGAAAGTATTAGAAGAACCATTATTCCAAATTTCAAGATCGTACGTTGAGTAGTTTATGAGATACAGCGATCACTGATTAGTGTGTCAGTGTTATATGGATTTTAGGTATATTATAATATACAGATTCCCTTCTCCCTCCCCTCCGACAAAAAAAATGAAAAATCGGCTGACGTGGAGACTCTCAGGAAAGTATTTGGAACAACTCTGTGAAAAAAAATTGGAACATAAAAAAGGCCTATTCTTTTATATATATAAGGATTAGATTAGTTTTGTTTTTTAATTTTTCAAGAACTTTATACTTATTTTTTTTAACAAAAGTGGTACTAAAACCTTCAGCAGACTGTCAGGTATAGCAGTAAAAAATTTCAGTCAAATCGGTTCAGTAGTTTTCTTAGTTAGCGCGGTCATAGGTATATATTACTAGTTATAGTATAGATAAATAGTATAATTGTTACCTTTTGGAACAGTGTTCCTTAACCTGGGGGTCGCCAACTTA